TTCCTGGCTGCGATTTGGAATGGGGTTAGCTTGTTACCTCGTATGCCTGGGTAGTCTGCTTTGATCTCATCGCTGCCTAGTAGCACAGAAACAACGTCTTCGTGATTGTGCTTCACAGCGACGCTCAAAGGGGTATCATTGAAGTCATCATCCAGGTTAGGCCTCATCTCCCCACCGTCTAGCAGGATTTCAGCAACTCTGGATCTTCCACTTCTAGCTGCGTAGAATAATGGAGTCCGTAAATGAGGACCCAGCTGTCTTGAATCTCTCTGCCAAGCCAGACACAGTCGAACAATATCGTCATGTCCCGCTGCAGCCGCTGCTCCCAAAGGGCTACCATACAGTCCATAGCCGAAGGGGCTTGGAGATGTCTGTTTCAGTATGCGGTTTTCAATAAGACGCCGTGCTACATTCTTCGACCCCCGATAGGCTGCGAGCTGTAGGGCATCGCCATAAGCACCATCCATCTTCCAATCGCCCGCACTCTGGTCTAGGAGTAGCTCTGTCAGAAGCTCATCATCATGAAATGCCGCAGCATACATGGCATTGCCCAGGAACTCGTGACTCTTATCAGCCGGTACCCCGCTCTCCAACAGCCCCCTCACAACATTTCTCAACCCGAGCCAGGCCCCTAATACCATGATAGTGAGATCATCCCAACTATTAGCCCAATGCATGACACCTCTCAGGTTTTCTGCAACCCAACCGCGGCCCTTGTATGAAACCAGGGCAGCACTTATAGCTTGCATGCAGTCTTCCGCGCAGCATTGTACAGTTAGCTGCGACCGCAAGCGGGATACAATCTGGGAGATGTGTTTATGGCTGGAGACATCATGCGCGATTTTCTCGTATAGAAGTCGTGACCAGAGCCGGTCATTCATAGTCTGGTTATATTGTCCGGTATAGAGTATGTTCCCTATGACGACCTGGTCCATATAACCTAGATATGGTGTTCATTCATCGATGAGTTTGATTGGCCTCAGCAGTCAGGCAGTGTGGTGCTTACGGCAGACACATCTTAAATTCAATATGTCCTGCACACTGAGTGACCGTAGTATCGTCACAACCGTTTCAACGCTGAGATCCTGGAGTCCCATAATGTCCACCTCTCAAACTTCCGGGGACAAGTTGTGTGTCCGTATGAGTTGGGTAGAATTGTGACCTGTACCTTGCTGCATATATAGTGGCATGCCAACACATCAAACAGGCCAAGAGGGGCAGTTGCTTGTGCTTGGGCTCAGGCTGCAGATCTATCGTTGTTTTTCTGCACGATTCTACTTTTCTTATCAATGTGGATCCCTTTTCTTAACTTACCACAGGAACTCTCCCTTTAGACTATTTGCTTCACCACCATTTCCATTGCAGGTCGTGATGTATCCTTCTACTATTTCTTTCCTTCCAGGAAAGTATTCGCTGCATGGATATCATAGCTTGCTTTAAACACCGAATAGGGCGAAGGTTCATGGCTTTCGTTCTACTTAAGTTCATCATCATACCCATGTCGAAATGTTTTGTAAAAGATATGCTCAAATACCTGCCTTCTGCGTGCGCTGTACGTCGCTTTCGTAAACTCCCGGTATTCGGGCATATAGTTGACATTATCGCAGTCGATGATGCCATTCAACCGTCTACAGTCAACAAGTAAATTCAGGGAATGCCAGTATAATATGGCCGGTGATCAAGACGGATGTTGCGATCCGGAAATATGGTAGGTAATGTGCCGCTGAGATGGCTAGTCAGGTGCGCATTAGATTCAGATTTCGAGTTGAACCGGCCCACAATCCGTCAGGGATGCAATGATTGAGATATGTGTCTCCTTTCGCGTTGCCGAATATGAACGGGGTATTATTTGGAATCTTTCGCAACCGCACGATACTAACCTTCAGATCGTCGGCAAACTAGTCCCGCTCAGCGTGCGCTATCCGAAGTAAACATCTGTAAGGAGCTGTCCATGTAGAGGTACATTTGCCCTGGTGTTCGAGAATATCCACTACACCGGGATGCTCCGTCGATCTTAACGCGGTGGCCCCCTTTCGATAAGGGGGATCACTCTCTATGACGACCAACCCAACGGGGCTTGTGAAACCCATTGTTCTGACAATGTTCCGTAGAGCATTGTCCCAAGCCATATAATGGTAGATAGAATCGCAAACATACCCAAGGTAGAAAGAAGAACCATATCCAATGAACGATCGTTCGAATTACTCGTGGCAATTCTGAGACATCGCTATGCGACTTTGGCCAGCCACATACAATTTGATCCTCAAGTGAAAACAGAGGCAGTACGCTTGTTAATCGACGATGGACCTCCAAAAGGAATGGATTTGGGTACGTCAACGGCTTCGTGTCGGGTGTGGAGAATCTAAAGAGGTGTAATATCCCCTAGAATTTTGTCTTGTCTCCGAGTTATAAATTAGAAGGCTCTTGGGGTATAATTGTCGTAGCAAGCACAGCGATCTTTTCAGTTTACGCTCGTTACAAACATGCACAGGTACGGACGCACCCGGAATTCGTAATCCTGCTTGCTTTCCATACTCAATATGCTAAGCCAGTGTAATAATTGTGACATTGACAAGACATCGACGTGTCCTTCGCGAAAGGCTTTATGGATGTTCGAGAACAGGAGCCATACATCCTGCAGAGATATATCATCATTGGCGGTAGCAAGCACTTCTCGTAGCTGCGTAGGATACTGAGTGGATAGAAATGCTTAGCCGGCCCTAAAGCTGTGAGTTTGTAGCCACCTCCAGATTACTGTCATCCATGACAGCCTACCTCCTCGGGACTTGCAATCTCATACGGCATGAACGGCGGGATGGTATATACAGCCTCCACAGCTGAGATTGATCCGTGATCGCATCCCATCATGAAAGACCTACAAATTGCCATCTTTCTGATGGACTAGGTGGAGAAGGCGATCTAAAAGTGGCCCAAGACATGTTACTTCCCATACATTACTTGAACACAGAGAGGGTAATCGCACGCCAGAACACCTACACCGTTCCACTAGTCTCCACTCCCTCTTGACTTCCACATCCTGCCAAACACCCGTTCTCGTTGAGATAAAATACCGAGCAGCAACCTCGGGGTCAACAGCAGCTTCAACAAAATGGCTCAGTAATAGGTACTCTGTGGGTGAGCGCCGGCCGATTCGATAGTTTTAAGCGCTCTGCTGGTGGCTGTCACCGATCGATCGCGATCAAAGTAACATCACAATACCTTTAACGTAATGGAGTGGGGTTTAGATGAGTAGTGGTTGATGGTGCTGCAACAAGCTCGTAAAAGGGGAGCAGATGCAAGAGTAAAAAGTAAATGTGGTGGGCGACACAGTTGGCGCCCCACTGCCTGCTTGGTTCGTCACCTGTTGTTCGCTCCCACTCAGTCCTCCTAGTAGCTAGTAGTTTCAATTATTTAGGCAGTGTCAACTTACCTTAATTATATGAGCTCAGTATGTATTCAATCCGTGGGTTGGGCTTCCTTGCGATTCACGAATTACTATGCGCGACTGGCACGCTAAAGAAGGATATTCTACTACTCGGCTAGGCGCTTTCATTAATCGGTTTTAGATATAAGGTCTCAGTCTTCAGAGAATGATCAAGGCGTGACATCTAACAGAGATGATGTTGCACCTTGCCCTCAAGCAAATCATAAGTGTACAATCTTTTGTTGTTATGCTTCCCTCCCATATAACACTTTTAACTAAATATCACATAATTCTATAGCATCCGTTTGACCAATATGGACTTCATGTCGTTTTTTATGATAAACGCGCAAAGCTCTAATTCCACTAAGGTCTAGACCTCGCAAAGAAGCATGACTATCGTTTCCCATCATATCAACATTATGGAAACAGAGTACTGTACAAGTGGCTGTACCGACGTAAGGAGGCTGGCAGGCTCGAGGGCTAGGTAACTCTGCTCGCTAAGCTGGAAATTGCCGCAAGGGACGCTATTCGACATGACTCTAGAGATGGTCGATTAGAAGAAGTGTCTATTACGCCACTTATGGCTTGTCGTCAATTGCTCGAGCGGGCACTGCAGGAACTGGACTGCAAAGGGAATAATAAAATCAAATGAACCGTTGACAACAATAAGACAGACGCTGAGGGACCTACCATCAATAACAGGCGATGACATCTGTGAAATGCCGAAAACAGCCAAAGCAGTCTATCAAGGGGTTGCAGCAGACGATGTAGTGGTAAACGGACCTGTCGATTCAGAGACCCTGTGAGTAAGCTAGATCCTAATCTAGCTAGGCTGAACTTATCCTGTGCCTAAACACTAATTTTCTCGAAATGGAGATCCATTACGACGGTTTCATTATATTCCTTGGGTTGCAGAGAAAAATCCCAATATTTTGCTCCAGCAATAGTCTCTATTCCGTACATCGTGACTCGTGAAATTAGGTATGACAAATAATGCCACGGTACAAAGATCTAGGACGTCAAAGGGTATTATTGTGATCTAGGCTAAAGGACAGGTAGCATTGGCTAGTCTATCGCCGTCGTTGGAATGCCCCACCATAGCCGTCCACGCTGCCAGGGTGGGGGTTCCCATTGGTTGTGCATTCGGTATCCGTATACCACCCTCGGTCCACACCGTCACCATCATGATCCCACGCCCCCGGACGATGACCAGCAGTCGAGCGGAAAAAGGCGGGTCGGAAATCTTGTCGGGGTGTAGGGCTGGCCTGCGGCTGACAGCGGAGGAAGTCTTCCCTGTGTGGTCGATCTGATATTATTATGGTGCAGTCGTTTGTTCAGAGCGGATCGTTTCGGCCCCGCGAGCATGCTATGTGACTCGATTGTCAAAAAGGGGACATTCTCCGGCGCTATTCGGGGCTGACGTTCCGAGATGAGATGAAGGTGCGCGGTGGATATGAGCGAGATCGGGCATGCGTGTTCTCAAGAAACTGGAATTGAGTGGCAAAGGGAGGGAAAGCTTTTTCAAGCCTTGCACCGTACAGGCCGGCGCGCTCCCTCCATGGGCCGTGCAGCCTCACTAAGCGTGGAGGGGAGTCCATTTGCGGCAGCCACCCCCGAGAATGATCTGTGGCGTAAGGCTGCAATTCTTGTCCGTGCCACATGACGATTCGACATATTTCAGAAAGCAACTCACGACATCGGGGGAATAGTTTCGGTAGGCGTAAAATACGGGCGTTTTCCCGTCGTGGTCTTGAGTGCAGCAATTCGCGCCTCTCTCAAGGAGTGTTTCGGCAATGGTTGCGGATGATAGCTGCGCGGCAAGGTGCAATGCGGTCTGGCCCTGATTGTCCTTCGAGCACCAAGCAATGCCGTAGTCCAGCAGCTGTTTGACAGCGTTCAAGTGGCCGTTGAGGGCAGCCAAGTGGAGAGCCGTCCGGTTAGTGGAGTCTTTGGCGGTGATGACTGTCTTGTTCTTCACATATTCCTGGTCCATGGATGCTACGTCACCGGTAGCGGCAGCGTGGAGAAAGAGCTGATGGCTGTCCATGGCTATGGTCGGGTTCTCGTGCTGGGAAGACGAAACAAGAGTGGTACGCTAATCTCGCACGAGGCAAATCGTCAGTCTTTATATACTGAGGATAGTCAGCAGGGATGTCTTGCTTATTTTCAACGAACATGACTAGACTTTGGCTAACTACCAATGTGGACATCTGGTGCATCTTAGACTACACCGGCGTCGGCCTCAAATTAACCGAGTGGATAAATCGCCCCTGGGTTGTAGCTTAGCCTCCCGACTCCCACGGTTTTCTTCGAATCGCCTCTCGGCAACGCGCGAAATCTCGTTTGTGAATAATAATGGCCGATGGTAACAAAAACCCAACCAATAGCCAGAGAAAGCCGGTTGGATAGGTGGATATTCACCAGGGAGGCAGACGGTAGGCAGCTCGTAGCAGCTTCTGGTCCGCACACGAGTGATTTCCTTTCTCAGCCTAACGCAAACCTCATAAGGAGAGGTTAGCCCCTAGAGCTTAGGCTAGAGCACGTACTAGACGTAGCCAGATGTCGACTGATGCCTAGTGCCGCGGTTTTGTGGTTCCGCGGGAGTTGTGGTGGGACCGTCCAGCATCGTTATAGTTAGTTATATTTTTTTCGGCCGTGATTAGTTAAGACTCTTACGTGCTCGATTGGACGCTGCGGGCTGGAATATCGGGAAACCCGAATCGAGCCCGGAAAAGGCTCCGATGTCATGGCCAGCAGGGGTTGTAAACCACTTAATTTTATGGTTAAATGTGATTTGGTGCCTCTCGTATCGAGCCTTCGATCCACGGCTAGAAAACTCTTGGGTTCCCGCACTAGCGTCTTGTCCTTTTCTTAACTTGCTGCAGGTTAAGAGATTTTCATGTGATTGGAATATCACAATTATTCGCACTTTTCGGCGACAGGCTCGTGGAAAGGTGACCACATTGGATTATTTTCGCTGCAACTCTCCCTGCGATACTCCCTGTTCGGGCCAATCTGGAACGGGTGGGTAGGAAGTGGGTATACCTAAAACCGCCAACGAATCTTGTTCAGGAGCTCCGGGGGAACCCCGGAGTAAGTCAGACCGTTCGTTAATTTCGTTAAGCGAGGTGTGAATCTCTACCAGGCGGCAGAATGTTTTGTAGGAACGGTCATGACTCTTTGGTTCCCCTGTCCTGGACATCGATGACACTGCGAAGTGCTTCAACTTAGTCCTTTCCAGTGGATGCACAGGGCACTGGTAATTATAATGAAAAACTTGATTACTTGTGGGAAAACTAACCCTCTCAAATGAGACCAATAAGGGGCAACCAGCCGGGTTATCCTGCCCTGTAGTCACAATGCCGAAGTATATAGAAGTAGACGCATATTACAAACCTCTTCGTTCTAACGATTAAATCAGCCAATCCGCGTGACTTTGAGTCATTCTTAGCTTCCCCTCTCTGAGGTAGAATGACAAGGCATGATCTCGTACTCGGAAAGTCACTGTTGATTCATTCTGGAGGTTGCAAGCTCAACGTATAGTGGACCCAGATACCTTCAAGCTGAATTAGCCAGTGATGTGCGTTCTCCTTCCCTGGACATATCTCGACCTGGTCCGACAACGGAATACATGATATTCTAGGCTAAATGCACTGCATTTAATGCTGTGCTGCTGCGCAACATCGATAGCTGGTAAGCGATATCTTGGCTCAATAGCATCGTTGACGTCGCTCTTATGTACAGCCCTTTCATCCTCGAATACACTGTTCCGGATGCCCAGACACGATATACGGACAAGGTTATTGTGCCAGAATACAAGATGCTAAATTGTCAATGGGTCAGAGCGAACAACAAGAGTATCATATATATTGGTAGATTACGGACCTATAGGCTATAACTGTGAACCTCAGAGGCTACTCTATCTTTGTGACAGAAAGCAAACACCTCATAATTTATCAAGGTTCCCCTTTCATACAGCGCTATACTTTCCCATTTGCAGAATAGTGAACAATAACATTTGTTATTCACTTGCATGCTTGCATAATCCTAACAGTCTTTCGTGGAGAAATGGTTGTAGCTGATATTGCCAGATACTAGTAGTGGACAGGCAGTACAAGTCTAAATATTGATCAGCCCGTGGCCACCATATGCTGAAGACCTTTCATTCGATGAAAGCTCCTGCCGAAGAATGTGCGATGATATGACCGATCAGCCACTGGAGATATAATAGAGGTGAGAGGTGAATCCATATCATCTATTCCTAGCCTAAACCAGTCAAATAATCCAGGGTTGGCGATCGATTACTTGACTGGGTATGTATTTACTTCTATAGCTATTCACTCTGGCAGACCACATGACTACAAAGGCCATATGGCAGAAGGTCTGCTGTATATGGGATCTCGTTTACCTGTTGAATTGTCTTTATCCATCCAAAGAATTTAGCTCTATGGTCAGCTTGGATTTCCTTTTCTTGCTGTCCACAATCTCATTCTCTGCACTTTACGTCTTCATTGAAACACACTCGTCTTTGCTTTGACTTGACTTGACCGAACTCGAATCAGTTTTCGTACCAGGTATCCTGGTGAAGATGGTCTTGCGTCAGTTCTCAACCAGTTCCATGGAGGCATGATGTACAGAAGAGCATTCGAAGCTGCTACACTCAGTTATACACCCCGTCTCCAGGGTATCAGCGATTATATCTCCCTTCCACGGATCATTGTCTGTGGTGACCAGTCCTCAGGCAAAAGCTCTGTGTTGGCGACAATATCGGGTGTTAAGATCTTGGTCAAAAGCAACTTGTGCACACGCTTCCCCACAGAGCTTTGTCTCCGCAAGAGGCCCCACATTGGAGTGGGAGTATCTATTGTTCCCCATCGCTCTCGTAGTCATGTGGAACAGGACACACTTTCGCGCTTCCTTAAGGAGCTCGATGGTTTCGAAGAACTTCCAAAACGGATTGACGATATACAAGCCGCCATGGATATATTCACTTAGAGCAAAGCCTTCTCGAATGACCTTCTTCGAGTTGAAGTCTCATGGCCGACCGTCCCCATTTCACAATCGTCGATCTTCCCAGACTGATCCACTCCGAACGAAGCCGCAGTCGGCCGCTGATACCACTCTTGCTCAAAACATTGTTCAATTACATAGAAAGGAGCCAAGGAGTATTATTCTGGCCGTCGTGTCCGCCAAAAATGATTTTACAAAGCAGATTGTTCTCCGACTTGCGAAGAATCAGGAAGTAGGCTTCCGCCTCGGATGTGATGTCCTCAAGAATATGGACACGTAGAAGGGGACTTGGAGCCTCTGTGTTCGAGGAGAAAAGGAAGCCGAGTTCTTCGCCAGAGTATTTAGGAAGACTTACTATGGTCCTATATCAGTATAGATATAGTATGGCAACGACTAAGTAACCTGCTTTTGGGCCAAATCGCTGCAGAGCTACCCAGTGTAATCGATGAGATACAACCTACGATGGACCAATGCGTTAAGAGGCTCGAGAAACTTGAAGAACCTCGCGCTACCCTTCAGGATCAGCGATCGGATCTTCTCCATATTAGCCAATGCTTCCAGACTCTCGTGAAATCCGGCCTAGATGGTAGTTATAATAGCCCCTCTTTTGAGAGTGCCCACTTAGAGAATGAGGTATCATAAGCGAATACGTGCAGTCATCCAGAACCTGAAGGAAGATTTCGCTCTGTAACGATATAAGACCCATAGGTTTCCATCCCGTTTTGTAGAGCGCGTCCTTTTACAATATCTACAGCTTCAAGCCTCTATAATTAACAATTAGATATGCGATAAAACGCAGATCTAGCGTCTTAGTGGCTCAAATGGCAATCCTAGAATATTGAAAACCTATACACCTCAGACGGACGACATCAACATGTTATTCAAACATGCTTATGACCCACCGACCCACTCCTCATTAAGCAATCGGTTCACCTACCAATACATACAGAGTGGCATGCACAAAGAACAATTTCAGGACTCGGCTTATACAGCCTTTATCAGGTTCGAGAACCTAACGGGGCCCTTAAAGGCTAACTAGTGAACGACAGAACGGCATATAGATTACAACTCCATCCAAGACCCAGAAAAACAAACAGCCAAGCGATAGCAAACCGCGAATAGACTAAGCCGACTCCAGGCGATGCAATTGCGTCGTGGTATCATCCGACTGGCGTCCCATACTCCTCGGACTCAGGAGCTTGGAGGGGTGATAGAAGCCCATAACAACCATGGTGAAGAACATCAGCATCGAGTCAAAGACGTACATGAACACCTCGTGGCTAATCAGATATCCAGCGTTGCCCTGCGCATACTCGATCAGACGGAAAACCGATCGGACAAGGATGAGCACGCTCGACACGTAAAGCACGCCCATTACAGTTACCCACGTCGTCTCCGTCCACTGGGACGGGCCTTTGATGACCGACCTTTCTGTGGGGTTTTGGTGGATTCGCCAGTGGAAGATTGTCGAAGTGACGATGAAGACGCTGAAAAACGCTAGTTGGACGGCGAGACCGACGATGGTGATTGTCTCGCCTGTGTTCATGGCGCTGATGCTCCCGCTGGCCATGATGCCGCCGCCTGGAGATTGTTTGTTAGCTTGATGCTGCCCAGCAGGACTGGGGAGATCGATGCATTACCTGCTGCTTGCATAATGAATGCGACCACGTCGCCGATCACGAATATCAGCGTTAACCATCTCGTGGGCACGATACTGAGCGCTTCCGCGTCCAGGTATTTGATTAGTCGACCGAGTGTCATATAGATCGAGGCGGCGTAGAGAGGAGGCGCAAGGAGGATCATGATCGTTCCTATGGAATAGATAGGTATGGAGTTGGTATCGTTATGTGCCAGTGTACGGCAGATATAGCCGATAACTTGAACTACGTATATATGTTAGTATTGCCCTCGTTCGCTGCGTTCGTATCAGAACAAGAGGGAAAACCTTACAGACTCCTCCAAATACAAACACAAGGAAATACCAGGACTTTAAACGGATCACTTGGTAGAGGTGATATAAGGTAACTAGGGCGAATAGAACAAGGAACAGGACTGCTGCCCCCAGAGAGGGTGTATAGCGGTATAGTTTGAATTCGAACATTCCTTCGGTGGAGTCCATCTCGGTCGGGGTGTGAAGAGTTGAGCTGTGACGATGGAAGATATCGACTGGTTCTAATAGATATATCCAACTTCTATCCAGGCTGCTTTTTAAGAGAAATCTGGCATAAGAGAGTCAAAGCAGAGACGGACAAAGAGGGGGCTGAGAACATGAGCAAAGAAAGATAGATGACTAGAACATTGAGACGTTATCGCTGTGTCTTAATATACCTTCGGACGTGTTAATTATGTTGATAGATCCTTCGCCATGACTCCACACTTTAACTCATCTAGTTGTTTATCCGGTATTGCATTCGACTTTACAGTTGCATCCAAGCCTGGAATAGGACTAGCCCAAGAAATCCATGGACTTTACTTCGTCGAGACCAAATCGTTGGCCAACGATATCGCATCATTATTTCAGGGATAGGGCTTAGAAGAGTGGACCTGTGGCAAAGAGACTGAAATATCTTTCAACCAGATTAAAAGTGACCCGCCCCGGCATACCTAAAAATGGTGCGCGCGACAACACGACAGTACGAGTATACGAGAATGCGAAAATACGAATCGAGAAGGAGAATCCCTAGTCACCATGAGTGGTCCGATAGCAATTGTGTGTTATTATATCATCTGCTCGACCGGGTCATTCGCTGCCTACAGTCTATAGCGTATATCATCCAGGCATAGTCAGGCCTCCTCATCGATGCCGATATGAAACTGTTCGTGAGCTGTTCGTATCTTCGTACATTCGCATAAGTTTGTGGGTCGTCGAAGCCCTCAGTGCCGGGAATGAACCATAACCTAAAAAGCGAGGAAGACCCACACCTTCGGGGATCACCAACGATACTACGAGGATGCGAGGATACGAACGTACGAAGGTACAGCCATTTGTCATTAATTAGGTTGCCGAAAATCGCCCCAAGAGCACAAGGCGAATGAATTATGCAGCGCTTTCTGTCAGTGGAAGACATATTATCCTCTTGCTGCAAATCCAGTAGTAATTACCAGTTCTGGGATGTGGTATATCGTTTTGACGGAGGATACCCGGTCGTCCATGAACTGTACAGATGCAACATGGCTTCACTGTTCTCGGTTTGCTGCTATTACAGCCATCGGCCACTCCATGAGGGTTAAGAGTTGGTCATTTTGCAAATCACTCACAAGCCGAAAGATCTTTTCGATCTCCTTGTGAGAGCCCCGGTTGAAAAACCACAAATCCTCAAAGAGCACGAAAACCAGATAGAAATGAGCCAATGTCGTATAAGAAAATCCTTCAGCAATCCCAACTTGATCCCGTGGCTGAAGGTGGGCAATGAAGACGTTCGATACCATATGAGGCCAGGACGCGACGGCGGCCTCTTCTAGATCGATCTGAAAATCCCGCGAGGCAGAGCAATCACGCCCACTTTCTGAGAAGTGAAGCACATTAAGGATACTCATATATATCTCCTCTAGCTTATCAATGGTATTTGCATGCTCCTGGCTTGTATTGTCAGCATTTCCAGTCTGTGTATCTGATGAATCCTGTGGTGAGATAGCATTGGCCTCGTTTGCTGCAGGTTTTGAAGACAACGTGGCTGCGTAGGTGCGTAGCGTAGAAAGAGCTTTAACGGCACCCTGCGCAAATATTAACACCATACGTGAACCATTGGATAAACGCGGGATACGGGTTGACGGAAGGGTATGTCTCCAATCGTTGTTAGCGTAATCGTAGAGTAACATTGGTCTCAGTCTGCCGGTTTTGAGAGTAACCCAGTGCTCTTGAACTACACTGGTCAGCCCTCGAACCAAATGAAGCCAGTCAATAAGCGGACTTTCATAATTGTCTCTATTCCTCATCCCCGACTCTGTCCTATTTAGGCCTCGGATTGACAAAGAAGCAAAGGCAAAGGCAACGATTAAGAGTGAGCCACAGAAGACATATTCTGCCGAGGAAGCAGACATATCGGATAGAGCCTCTCGGAACCCTTTGAGCCCCCTTTGGTGATGTTCAATAACGCGATGAAGATCATGAATCGCAGAATTACCAATAGAGGGAGTGGTGGGTTGGTTGTTGTCTTTGTTCGGTGATCCAGATCTTGCCATATCTGATTCATATAGAGTATGTGCTCCAGCGAGTGCGAGGAGTAGATGCATCAAGTACTCCCTTCTTGCAGCCATGTCTGGAATAACTTGCTGCCAGATTAACATTCGTTTCGGATGAAGACTCATCTTTTTCGATGTCTGCAGCATGAACTTGGTCAACAGATTCATGTCAGCCATGTTGATTGCTTGTCCATGCAGTGACAGATCTGGGGACAACCCCGGCAGATGGAATTCCAACGGCTGCAAGGGATGTGGTACAGGAACCACCCGCCTGGACTTTCGCGAACGCTGAGAGCCCTCTGAGTCTACCGAGCTATGGTTGATCCCTCATGTCAGTGAATCGGCCTGAGCAGTAGTGCTGCAAAGAGAAATCTTGATATGCCCTGTCTCAACTGGCTGGGAAGTAATATACATACATGGGTGGCGCGGGAGGTGGAAATGAACATGCTTCACCACGAAAAGAGCATGCGCCACAAACAGGCCTTACCTCGTCACACTGCAACAAGCGGTCAATAGGCAATCTTAGTATTTTACAATGTGATGCTTGGCGGACCTTAACTCTTCGATGCTTGCAGGTGTAGCAGCCATTGCGGGATTTAAGGTGGCGCGCCCTGTGCCTTTTTTCGTGCCGTGCACGTAAGCCGCTCTGTGTGGCAGGAGTAGCTGATGGGGATGGAGTATCAGACATATTTCGGTGGGCAGAAGACCGACCCATGGACATTGAATCTGATCCGATTCGCAGGATCTGGGAGACGGGGGATGAGCTGTAGGAAGTCGGAACTTCTTCGGGGCTTTCTGTCGAATTGTCTCTACGGAAGGCCAAGCAATCCAGAGCTGCACATGCCCTGGTTGGTGTTGGGGACGAGAAGAAGAAGAACATCTTGATCAGCCATACCCCATTAGCTCACTCAGGAGCATGTCGACTCAGCCGGAGACTCCTCCTTTCAAGAAGTCGAGTCAATTAGGATTATTTAACCGTCCTGGGAGATTAGGCAAGGAAGTCTTAGTAGGATATAAACTTATAACAAACCCACGGGACTTGGAGTGGATTTAGTATGCACCGAGCAAAATAAAAGTAAATAAGGAGTGTTATCACTAGGGTACGACTGTCCGTTTTATCAATCAAAGGCCCGCTGACGACCTGTCGGGGGAAGCTTCCTTCAAACACCATACATACAATGCTCTCTCTTCAACCGGGGCTCGCCTATCTACCCGGCTTATACAATCATATGGAGTTAGGTACAATACTATGTTGACGGGCAGAGCTCGGCTCTAGGGCAGGGAACAGCCTGTATGCGATCAAGTGTGATTGCCGAATAGCGGACGGTTTGGAGTGGCAACACGCGAAGGTACGAAGATACGAAGATACGAGAGTACGAGAGTACGAAGTGGATACCATCTTAAAATTCATAAGCCCTATCTATATCTATTTTGAAACTGGGTCCCCGGTGCCCCGGTTTACTATCGATTGAAGTTTTCCATGATGGGATCAATCTTACTCTTTTCTGCTCGCAAACCAGTCCGAGGGCTACCAAGCTGATTTAACGGCCCACTGCATTTAAAGACATCATGTTACATAAAATCTACAACAATCCCGAACAGCAACACGAGAGCACTCCAGCATCGTTTAACATAGTCTCTCCTTGCACCGGAAATCCTCAAAATACCCAGAATGGAGAGCAGCGACGATGCTACAAATACAGCATCAAACGAGGCGTCTATGTTCGCCTTCTATCGATATGACCCCAGTATGGCCGGCGCCGTGATCTTCACTATCCTGTTCACGATAACGACATTATGGCACGCGGTGCAGCTGTTCCGAACTCGAACTTGGTTTTTTATCCCATTCCTGGTGGGCGGTATATGTTAGTAATGACTTGTTTCCACGGACATTATGGGTTCAATCTTTTTCTTGCATGAGTTGTGCTCATTCCGGCAGTTGAAATCATCGGCTACATCGGACGCGCACTGTCGAGTCATGAGAGTCCAAATTGGACTCTTGGGCCTTACTTGATCCAGACTTTGTTCCTCCTTCTCGCGCCTGCTCTTCTAGCTGCCTCCGTTTACATGCTCCTCGGGCGCATCATCTTGATTCTACGAGCAGAGTCCCATGCAATCCTGAGCAAAAAATGGTTGACCAAGATCTTTGTGACGGGAGACGTCCTCTCATTCTTTCTACAAGGCGCCGGTGAGTCAGCCTTACCAGACCTTTCCCACAAGCTCAGCTTACTCTTGTACCACATGGTACAAGTACTAACTCCCATCTAGGGGGCGGCATCCAGAGTAGCGGCAGCCTAGACAACATGAAGCTGGGTGAAAAGATCATTGTGGTGGGACTTTTCGTCCAGATATTCTTCTTCGGCTTTTTTATAGTTACAGCAGGTAGCTTTGACTGGAAGCTGAGGAAATACCCGATCCCACGGTGCCACGATCTGTCGATCCCGTGGAGGAAGCATCTGAACGTCCTGTACGCGACCAGCTTCTTGATTATGGTGCGGTCCGTGTTCCGCTTAGCGGAGTATCTTCAGGGCAACAATGGGTTTCTTTTGCATCACGAGATATTTCTATATATCTTTGATGCTGTATTGATCTTCGTGGCCATGGTTCTTTTTAATATCTTTCATCCTAGTGAGTTGGCGCATCTACTGAGGGAGGCACACGAGTACGAGCTGCAGAGTACATATGATAAATATGGGGTGTAAGGTGCTTGTTGCACGCTTATGTTATTGGTTCGATGGTCAAGACTGTTCTTACTACTGTACTGAATAGAGATGGGATGTCTGCTGTTTTCTACTGCTTAGTAGATGTGTATATGTGGGGTGAGGGTCGAATCTAATCATTCACTTGAGGTATCGAGATCTGTAGCATATTTAGGGTTGTGTCGTTGTATCTCGAGGAAGTAAAATAGCTTGGTACATAACTTAGCTAGCCTAGTCTAAGTACAGATATGGAGGCTTCAAGGTCTTCTGATTACCCTAACGCAACGTCGAATTTGAAACGATAAAAAGAACACATCACCATGAATTGACACCCTTATGACTCAGGAAGCGTTCTTCTGACTACGACACAGATCATGGTGACAGAGGCTATTGAGCTGGCACAATAATATCCTTCTACGCGCTAAACCACGAGTACTTCTCAAGTGTCAACCAGACCTCAAAGTACACTCTACCTGACCCGATCGGGAAGTGCCACTCTCTACAAGACTATACAAGTTAATAAACACCACCATCTCCCCTTCCTATGTTATCTGAGCCACCCTACGCGCCTTCAATTATGGGTTACACCCCATGCCGACTACTCCCAATCTGGTTAGCCAAAATCCACCGGCCATGTCATTTAATACAATGCCCCTCCTACTTTCTCCCCAAATCAGCCGTACTTCTGATGGCACTCCAACATGCCAAACAGCCCACTCTCCTTCGACACAAATGGCCTCTACATCCTGGTCTCTGACCTCGGCTCTGACATTCAATTCCACTGGGCCTTCTACCTTGTCCAAAGTCAAGGCCAAGGCATCATGTTTCATGTGATCAACAGTGTCGAGACGGGCAATCAGTGGCAATATCAAACCAAGCCTATTACCGGCATTCCAAATTCACTCAACCTACTCGTCGCTTTGAAGATCGCGGTGATGGACCCTGTGTTGCATATTGCCCTGGCAGAGCGACTTGCTGCTGTTCCTGATACCCCGCCGATCACTTGTCGCCTGTGGTTGAAGCGAGCACTGCACGAACTGGATGAGGAAGGGTACATTCAACTCACGGGGAGCGTTGATGATATTGAACAGGAGGGTTTTATTGAAGCGGCGGAGAATCAGCCGCGGAGGATACGTACTGGGCTTTGTAGTCGCTATTGTATGGTTTAGCTCTTTGGTGTTGAGCTAGGTATGTGGGTTTCAATTTGGCAATACCCTTCTGGGGTTTGTGGGTATCTGAAATGGGCAAGAATGGAACTGGACTTGTGCAACGTAGATTGAACTACTGCTGATATGGAAGAGGGGTTTGAAGCAAACGGTCCTGTAGGATTTGGTGTACTACAGAGTTGCTTGGTGTCATACGAAAAAGGCTTCTGTGTCACCATGGCCTTTGACGTGCGCTGTGAAACGAAGGATTGCTAAGCCACGGCTCTATGGTTCACCTCCTTAGCTGTAGGCAGTCGCTCCAAAGGTAGATTACCATATCAGTTGCTGTCATGTATGAGGGTATTGAGGCATGAGGGCTACTACATTCCCTATGCCTGATTGATGCCTGGGGCATTCACGTGGTGTCCAATTAACTTTCATCCCCACAACGTTTATGTTCCGGGACTTCATGTAAATTAACATTGACAGGCAGGACTTTTCATGCACTATGAATCACAGTATTCAATGTCAATCTTCCGTATATTACCATTGCTGTATCACAAACATGAGACCCTATACGTGCTGCGGGCAATAATCAGCTAAGAGAGACCCTGCAGCCATGGAATCAGATTTCACCATGAAGGAAAGGTCTGGCGATAGAAATGGTCCGAAAGCACCAAAGGCTCTAGCAAAAACCTCCACATGGGAGAAGCTTCAAGGTCAATTCAATCCGAGGCCTCCGGACGATGACGAGCCGCAGGATTGGTGGTTCGCCTCGACCGCCATCCCCTTGATGGCGGCCACCACCAGTCCATTTGCAAACGTGATGTCGGTGGTCGCGCTGGCCATGTCCTGGAGAAGTGAAATACATCCTGAAGAACAGGATCCGGAGGGAAACCCGGTACAGGTATTACTGGCTGATCCCAGATGGTAAGCACCCGGTATATAGGTAGCGATGGGGCCTACACTAACTGTGTCAGGTGCATTGGCTTGAACGCCACCTCTCTTGCATTTGGGGTGCTAGGGAATCTATTCCTTCTGTTCAACTTTACACGGACCATCCGATATATCATCGCGCTGCCTGCTTCTATTATTTCTTGGTCCTTAGCGACCGCCATTGTAAGTGACAAGGGCCAAAATCTCCCCCGAGCACTGCTAACACACACAGTTGATCGGAATCACCAGCTCAGTGCATATCTATGCGAGCCCGATACCTCCAAACCAGACCTACTCGCAGGCATACTGGTATGCCGTCATTGCGGCGATTCACTATTTCATTCTCACCACGATCCTCATGATTAACATGCTTGGATACTTCCTGGGACATTATCCTCAACATTTTGCCTTAACAGATGGCCAGCGAACCCTGATTCTCCAGACCACTGCTTTTGGGATCTGGTTAATAGTAGGCGCCGCTGTCTTCCAGAAGGTCATCGGGATATCCATCGCCGAAGCGCTGTATTTCTGCGATATTACCATTCTAACACTTGGCTTTGGCGACGTCACCCCCAAGACCCCCGTCGGGAGGGGTCTTGTCTTCCCTTACGCCGTGATTGGGATAATCATCCTGGGTCTGGTAGTGGGAAGCATCAACAAGATCATCCGAGACCTGCAAGACACGAACGTGGTGCAGAAGCACACCGAACGGCGCCGAGAAGCGACAATCGAACACTCTCTGGTGGAAGAAGACCTCCAACAGAGACTGAGACTGACGCCCAACACATCAAAGATCGCGTATCGGCCCAAACACACACGCAAAACACCCATCATCAGTAAAGTGACGGCGCTCTACCGCGATGCGATCGGCCGACCAAAGGACATCGTCATGAAAGAGGAAAAGGACCGGTTCGACGCCATGCGCGCCATCCAATACGAAAGCGTCGTCTTCCGTCGATGGTACCGGCTCATCCTCAGTCTCATTGCATTTGGCATCCTGTGGACCTGCGGCGCGGTTGTGTTCTGGGCCTTGGAGGAGCAGTTCACGTACTTCCAGGCTCTGTATTTTGCTTTCTGTTCCCTGTTGACTATCGGGTACGGGGACATCACACCCACCACCAACGCCGCAAAGCCGTTCTTCGTCGTGTGGTCGCTCATCGCCATTCCGACGATGACCTCGCTCATCTCCGAGATGAGCAATACCGTCGTCGCGGTGTTCAAGCACGCCACCAGCCAAGTCGCAGACTACACCGTCCTCCCCCGTACGGGGAAGTACAAGTCCTTCATTACCAGGTTCCCCCGTATCCTGGCCTACCTCGAGAAACGCGAGCAGAACCAAAGAGTCACCCGGGGGTTTCAAATCGGCCCTGGTGACGTAGAGGGGACGCAGAACGGCGAGTCCTCACGGAACCAGCAACCGATCGGGAAAGAAGGGGATAAAGAACCGTCGGATTTCGAGCTAGCCCAGCGTCTCGCGTTCGCTATCCGTCGCACGACCCGGGATGCCGTCAATGGACATCCGAAGCGCTACAGCTACGAGGAATGGGTGGAGTTTACCCGCATGATTCGATTCACGGATCCAAGTCCGGGGGAGACGGTTTTGTATGAGGATGAGTATGGGATTCTGAATTGGGACTGGATGGGCGAGAATAGTCCCATGTTAGCTTCGCAGACGGAGCCTGAGTGGGTGCTTGATCGGCTTTGCGAGAGCATGATCCGGTTTATCTCCACGCAGGCGCAAAAGAGACGGTCGAGTGGGGATGGCGATGAGGATGAGCCGACGTTGAGAAAGGAAAAGGACATTTAATGCTATGTATTGAAATCAATTGGGAGACGGACGTAGTACACATGACAGCGAAATAGATACCCGTTGTGTAGACACAGTCCCATACAATTCAACCATCAAAGCCACACTAAACAGCCACCATCCTCTAGCCCCAATCCAAGAAACCAATCGACACCCCGTAAGCCGCTTGCACCATCGGCATCCAACCTGACGACAGCGCTGAAAGCACAGCTTAACACACTTAAGCAACAAACCCTAACCGAAACTCTAAGTCACTCTAAGTCTACCATACCATACCACGAAGTATATCTCCAGCAGAGCCACCAGAAACCACGAAATCACAGAAAAACAATCCCTTCCTTCCTTCAGGATACGAAGAATTAAATAAAATGTAATAATGTCTCGGCCAAACCCCACCGCGGCTTATCCCGCTCGGCCTGGATTTGTCATCTGGGAGCGAATCTTAGCAATTCAATTCGATTCGGCTCGGACGAACTTCTCGGAAACAGTCTCCGCGGTGTCAATATAAATACAGCTATATTTACTGACACTTACACTTACCTCCACGTAAACAAACTTGTCTAGATCGACAATTCCACTTCATCATTCATTGTTAAACCAGACCAGACCGACCAGGTTAATCCACAACAACTTCAACAGCCAAGATGACTTCTTTCGGAACGATTTATTCTTATCCTAATAACCCCCGGGTTAAGAAGGTATTATACCCCTCCGACATATACCCCTCACCACCATACAATCCAACCCACCACCACCAACCAAAAGAAAACAGCCCCCACAAACAAAACCCTACAAGACCAACCAAACCAAACTAACAACCCACACCAGATCCAAGCCACTGGCAACCTCAGCGGCCTCGAGATCACCTCCGCCCCGGACTTCCAAATGGGCGTGACAAACCGCAGCGCCGACTTCCTCGCCAAATTCCCCATGGGCAAAGCGCCCGCGTTCGAAGCCGCCGACGGCACCCTGATCTTCGAGTCCGACGCCATCGCGCAATACGTCGCCGAGAGCGGCCCCGCCAAGGACCAGCTGCTGGGCGTGTCGGCGGCGGAGCGCGCGCACATCCGGCAGTGGATTTGCTTCGCGGAGGGCGATGGCATGGGCGCCGTGGTGCCGTTTGCGCTGTGGCAGATGAAGATAGCGCAGTATACTGCGGAGGAGTTGGAGGGCCATTTGGCCAAGCTGGAGAGGGCGGTGGGTGCGGTTGAGGCGTATTTGAAGGCCGGCAATAGGAAGTGGTTGGCGACGGAGGAGAAGTTGAGCTTGGCGGATATTAGTCTCGCGGCGCCGCTGAGTTGGGCGTTTGGGATGGTTTTGGATGCGGAGTTGAGGGCCAAGTATCCGGCTGTGGTGGCGTGGTATGAGAGGACGATTGAGAGTGAGGGCGTGAAGCAGGCGTTTGGGGAGAAGAAGCTTATTGAGAAGAGGCCTGCTTTCCAGTGAGATTGGACTGGATGCGCGGTCGGAATGATGAGCAATGAATATGAAAATCGCAAACATAATATGATATGAATATAAGTGGAACACTGCTTTCGTTCACACGGTATGGAGATATCGTTAACAATACACTAAGAATGGCGCTTCATTACTTTCATGTCAAGGCGAAGCGATGCCCCTCAACCTGTACACTTCCAACGCCAATCAAAGGCGCGCCATGACCTCTCCCTCCTTGCTCTCCTTGCTCAACGACCTGGCAAGGTTCTGACTGGCCCAATCGGCGATCGCCATGTTGGTTACCATGGGATTGACGCCACTGGCGCTGGGGAATACAGATGCGTCGACCACGTACAATCCGCGCGTACCCCAGACCTGACAATCAGGGTCCACCACGCTGGTCCGCGGGGAGCTGCCCATGCGACAGGTGCCCATCTGGTGCGCCGCGGCAAACGTGGTCTTCTCGGGGTCGAGGGTCTTGCTCCGGGCTTCCTCGATCCATGCTTGAAGGGCAGCACTGTTCGTGCCCTCCGGCGACGCAGGGTCCGATGCATCCTCGGGCCGGATAAACGGCGGGATTTCACGGCTCGAGGTATGAAACTCCTTGGCCCCGGAGATGTATGCCATCTTCGCCGTGGCTATCAGTGCCTCGAGAATATGCTTGCGATCGAAGGCGGAAACCGTATAGTCTACCCGGGGTCGTCCATCGACAGGGTCCGGATACACGCGGCCGCTGTCGCGATCCTTCGTAAGGGTAATGAAGCCGGTCATGTGAGAGAGCTTGGCCACAAACTGCTTCCAATCCAGCCCGTCCCGCCAGGGGAAGGCCGGAAGGAAGGCCGGAGGCAGCATTGTGACACATTCGATCTTGACTCCGTGTCCTTGTTTGTCCAGGTTCTCGAATTCATTGACAACGGCTGTCAGGGCAGCCCCTTCCCACGGACGAGTCTGCTCGTCAAACACGGCTCCCGAGATAACGACTAGACATATAATGAGTATGCTACCTACGACGCGACAGGGGAAGCTTACCTGGATGGAGGTGAAGGTTTCGGCCAATCTGTGGGTTCTTGAGACCGCTGCGTAGCAGCAGGAGGGGGCTTTGCAGTGTGCCGCAAGAGACAACAACCCGCTTGGCTGTGATGATGAGCTTGCGCTTCACGGCACTCGCTCCAGACACGCCGAGGTATGCGTCCCGTGAGGTCCATGTACCCTCTACGCCCGAGGCCACCCGGCCGCCCTTGGTCTCGGTGAACAGGACTTTTTCTGCACGGAAGCCTTCCACAAAGGTGGCTCCCGCATGGGCAGCATCTACCAAGAATGATTCCGTGGGACCCTTCTTGCTCGCCGAATGGCACCCCATCGTGCAATGGCCACAATAATGCTCGGTGCCGCCGGTGTTTTGCGGTACGGGGTTCGCTGCATAGCCGAGTTTGTGCGCTCCTTCCAAAAGAACACGGTTCTGCTTGTTGTGCGTCGTATGATCAGCGCTGACTCCCATCCGATCACACACGCGATCCAGGGAGTTCTGAAATTCTAGCGACGTGAAAAATGGCAAACCGCCCTTCGCCCATTCCTCACGGACATAGTTCTGAGTCTGAAGAGCCGCAGACCAGTTGATGGTGCCGCCACCACCCCAGGTTGCCCCGGCGAAGATCCCCATTGAGCCATCATCGGTTGAGACCGCACCCCCGCCTTCAAACATACTCACCGACCCCTCGCTAAAATTCATTGGGAACTGCTTGGTTGAGTATTGATAGGCCTTTTCGACCACTATAACCTTATAGCCTGCTTCAGCGAGGTTCTTGGCAGTTACGCTACCTCCACAGCCGCTTCCGACGATGACGACGTCGGTCTCGATTGTCTCCGGTCCATCTCCCGACGGGAATTGCAAGAACTCGTATTCGAACCCATCGGCGGGACTTCCATGCACCGGGACACGGGGGAATCCAATGGTCGGGCAAAGCGTAGGGCTATAAGTAAGCCATGTCCTCTTGCAGATGGCTGAAAGTGCTCGGTAGATGACGCGCAGAGGCTTCAGCCTCGATGTTTCCCAGCCGCAAAATATTCTCTCCCGGACATGGAACGGCTGATCCTGTATAGGGGTGGTGGATCCCGTCAAAATCAATGAGCCAGCTCTCGTGCTATAGTAGTGTCAATTACATCATCCCTCGCAACTGGGATCCAAGAACACATACTTTAGGGTATTCAATATGAAGCCAAGACCATTCCTGCCTTCCTCATGGACATACTCCGAGATCAGGCGCTGTAGCCCCGGTCGGAAACGAGGATTCGACGAGGCATTTTCTTCCAGGTACTGTGTTGCCACAGCGGTTGCATCAGGCCCGGAGATGCTGTCAGTTAATGATGAGAGGCCGGCATCGAACTGGGCCTGCGGAATCACTTTGGTAGTAAACGATTTAGGAGCGTTAGGGCCACGAATCGATGGAATGACCGTATCCGCTATGGACATCAGAGTGGCCCACTGAAGTTCGGAGAAGACTTCCTTGGTAGGCACCGGAGGAATAGGAACCTCCAGAGGAGTGTAAGCCACGACTTGTTCGGCCATTGGGGACGTTGACCGACAAGATAGAAATGTTACAATGTAGGAATGTTGGAAAAGAAGGGCTATATGATGCCGGTGGTAAAATCAGGGAGAGAACAAGGGGTTAAAACAAACAGACCGGAGGAGAAGGTAACAAAATCATAGAACAAAGACCGCGTCAATGCGCCTTCCGTGCCATGACATCCACCCAGAAGAGTAGTGCTTGCGAAGACACTGGTGGGGCAGATTTTAGTCTCGGGTCCAGGGCCCAATTTTGAAGACACCCAATTGCTCTCCCGGATCTGAGCCTCTACCCCAGACCACGACCAGTGCCTGCCAATGTATCCCCAGCATCCCACGGAGGATTAAGGGAGGAACCGAGGCTATTGCAGGCAGCCCGTCGGGGCCATGTGGGTCAGGCCTTCGCCGTGGTTGGACGAGGATTCAATCAGCTTCTCGTTGCGGTGATCAATGCAGGAGCTAAACGTGGATGGTATGAGCGAGTGCGGGGGAGAAAAGAGCCGAAACTTTTGCTGTCGTTCCATGTGAAATCGTGGATAGGACGAACCAGACTTCCAGTGATGGACGGTTCGATCACTAGGCCAAAGGATGATCTTCCCTCGATCATCCGACTACATCCGTCGCCAATGAAAACGCTTCAAGGTGGCCTGATTGTCAGCACCATTAGCGCTCGTCTGTGAACACCCATGAGGAAGAATTCGTAGATGTGCAGTGTCAGGAGAAGTTCCATCCTCTCCCCATTGGGTATCTCTTGCGCCTCAGGCAGATACCTCTGCCTATTCTGGATTAGTGCCATCGGACCCCATGTGCAGGGCTCCTCTTGCATCTCGCCATGTATACTAACTCGCAAGGACTACCTAATTACCTAGTACTCGCCGATCTCGTCATCGCGTTAACCCACCCTGAGCTGGACATGTCGAAATATCGGTGAAAACCCCAAAGCACTCAGTTATTGCATGCCCGGGAGCAGTGATGCAGTTCTGTGTGAACGATACTGTGGCAGCAGCGACAAAGGGAGATTGGAGCTAACATGGTTCAGGCCGTATTACAGTCAATTGAGTTAACAAGGACGACTTGTTGTGTTTCTCGCAACTCCCATAGCTATCAATCAATTCTGTGGTTGATTTGTACGTAGCAGGAAGGCTAGTTGCGCAAAAGCACTCCTCCGTGTTTCAGCTTCTTGTGTGTCTGAACTTGCAGCACGGGAGCAAGTGGCTTGAGAATTCACTATACCAACAGACCATTCGCTAGGGGCTCAAGTGATCCTTCATACACGAGTGTTTCAGAGGACACTGCACGCCAAGTGCTATATTGTCTAGACATCTGGCGAACTTTTAAAATCCAACAGACCGTTTTGTCTTGGTAGAAATGACGACGCCGGATTTGTTGGCATTCAGATGGAATTAAAAATATTTCATGACGTCTCCAATTTCCCCGACAGTCTCATGTACATACATCGCTGAAGCTAGACCTCCAGTGCAGCACCTACCAATACCAGAGGATTCCCACCATATCGTCAACTACCTTTCTAGGTCAACCACAGTATCCCAAAACTCCTCAACAGCTAACCTTCCGAATACTAGCGACTAACAAGAGACTTCTGCATATGGCGCATCTGCATATGGTTCAAGCTGCCCGCCCCTTGGATCCCACAGCGCAAATTCTGTGCTGCCTTGAGAACCAGAGTCGTACTGATAATCTGAATGGTTCTGCGAATTATGTGCAACTTGCACAGCTCATTTGCACTGGACACATCAAACGTCAGTTCTTCGAGACCATGCTGCCTTGGGATATTCCGGCACGCATTTCTCCAGTTCTCCATGAGGGCTCGCAGATCGACGCTCTTTGAATCCTCGGTCGCGGCTTCCATGAAAGTCAACTTGTCATCTGTGAAGTGCTGTAGGAGGTCAAGTCGTAGCATTTTCATGCCCTGGCATATGGCCACGCTGGCGGGATCGGGGTCTTCGAGGAGCTTGTGCAGGTCCAGGGGGTTCTGGAAGACAAATCGGTAGGCTGAAGGTTTTTGGAGGATTGTGTCAATGGGAACAGGTGTACGTTCACTCTTAGTGCGGTAGAGACGCATGAAGCTGGTTGTGCCATTGTTAGCAACAGTTGCTAGAACATCTATTATGCGCATTTCTGTGGTGGTTTTCCTCTATGAGATGAAGAGGGAAAGGAACAGGACAATGTTGAGGTACTCGGCTTGTAGACAGTACGAGGTTTTGTAGTGTTATGAGTGAAGAAGGTCTTCTTGATAGTTTGAGGTTGAGGCTTGAAGAGGGTAGATACATTGCTTCTATATGAGGCCTATGTCAGGGCTTTTATATGCATAGTTACGTGCCTCTGTTCCGCCTCCACGTGGTGCCAGTGTAACGTGTGGATTTCTAATACTGTGAATGACAGCACTGAACTTAACTACAATGCTAATAATACCAACGGCTGTCTTTCTTGGGGTTACAAAGAAGAGGCATTCCAAACAGAGGAATTCCGGGCTTTGCCGCTTAACTCCAGACCTGTATTTATGAGAAGCTGTTATCTACACTCTTTTGATGTTCAAGATCACAGTTATAGCATTTCCTCCAAACGCTCCAATTTGATTGACGAGCTATCACTGGTTAGTACGTCAATACATCGACTGTAAAACTACTTGATATCGAGTAATGACCCTCCCAAGCCCTTCTCTATTCCTTAGTAGCATAGAGCTGTTGAACTATTACTAGAAACTAGGTACCCAACGGAAATCAAGGAGTGCCTATGCTTTATATATAGATTTATTCCTGAAAGAAAAGCCACAAGTTAAACCAGCCAAGCTGTTATGTTGGGGGTAGCCGTCTGGTCCTTCCACTCATAACTCCTTATTTATCGTGCCAAGTTCTTCAAGCTCTAGTTCTATTCTGAACAGATGGCCACCAGTGTTCGAATGTATACAAATGCATTGATTGATAGTGCACGTGCACAGACCAAGCGGCCGATAAGCTCCATATGTCAACCGACACCGCCTTCCCTTGTTTCTATTCTCATCAACCGCTGCGTATCAGCGCAAAGCCACAGCTACGGTATGACACCCTTTCCCATCCTAATGCGGATCTCTTGCCAGGATTGTTGAGTGAAAATATACCATGCTAATGCCGCATGGTAATTGCCCCCAAAGACAGCCATGAGCGACCGATCCACGTCCACACCGCAGCGCGGTCCATCCCCGTCGAAGCCACGACCGAAATGCACACTGCCCCCCGAGAAAGTCTTCTCAATTCAGATAGGAACTGAACTCTTCCGTGTCTCGGGAGCTTCGATAGCCTCTGATGGTTAGTGGCTCTCCGGTCGTAGTGACTATTCCCCGCTAAAGTCTTGGAGCTCGTCCTATTTCTCTCAGTTCTTCGAGGAGCAGATGCGCCAGACACCCGACGGCTCGAAGACCAGGACACTGTACATTGATCGCGATCCGAACACATTCAAAGCGATCGCAAGGCATCTACAGGGTAGGCGCGATACACTGGAAATGAATTGTGGCCGGTGTTGACGTTCTCGTCCGATGCGACAGGCTATCATATTCGGCCCAAAAATGGCACGGAGTTTGTACAGTTCTTCGCTGATGCGCAGTTCTATAGTTGTATGTCTATCGCATTTACCTAGCATATTGAATCCACGACTAACGCGAATTGCTACTAGTGCCCCGCCTTATCTCCCAACTCTTCGAATCCGAGATCTTCATTCAAATCGGCGACAAGGATTTCCAAATCCCGCGCGACATCTTCTCTAATCCCGGCGACTCCCCGAACTTCTTCTCTCTAGGCTTCGGTGCCTTCTTTGCCTCCCCGACGGAGATCTTCCCCGGACTTGATCGTCACGGCCTTTTACGTCCTCCGGCCATTGTCCCGCCAAGTGTGCCCAATCGATCGGGAGAGGTTTTCGCGCAGCTCCTTCACCTCCTGCGCGGATACCCATTGGAGATAAAGAATGAAACGCACCGTGCCGAACTACTGCGCGATTGTCGCTACTTTCACCTGCGCGGGTTAGAGCAAAAGTTGATTCCACATCATGTCAGTTTCAATCCGATCCGACAACGATCGGAGATCGTCGTCCGCCTGGAGGATGTGCGCCGCTCAGGAGTTAGCGTTGCCCACCACGCCTCGGCCCCGTCCAGCGGCTGGGCCACGTACTCGCGTCCGTTCATCGACGAGGAGACATACGACTTGATTCTCGAGATCGGTGACGAAACCACTATTGTCGACCTTGACACCAAGCATATTGAATTCCTAAACTCGACTAAGGCGCGCTTCTCCAGCTTGCTGCAGATCGTTACGGGAAAGGTCAACCTCCCAGGCCTGCCGGAAGGTCAGTCCACTTCGCCTAGTGTTAAGGTTTCTGTCGAGCGAGACACGGACTTGACCGTCGACGGACAAGTGCGGCACCTAGAAGCCTTCGGACAAGGATCCGAACAGGCAGATCCGTCGCAACCTGCGGCTAAGCGCCGACGAATGGAAGAGCCACCCAAAGAGGGCGGACGGCATATCGTCCGGAATGGCCACTGGCGTCTAGGTTTCCGCCCTAATGCCGCCGGCGACCGACTCGAGTTCATCCTGGCAGCGGTGAAGCTGGATGCATATACAGAGCAACGGAGTCGGAATCATACACGGGCGTTTCTGGGGTCTTAGCACTGATATACTTTGAACCAACACACGCATTGTCTTCTATTCCTCACGCAGCCACACTGTTATACATCTGCTATACTACATCTGATGAAGAGTAAGAGCCACTGCATTATCAAACCCACACCATCCACCTACCCCTCAAGGGGTAACCATCGATCAACACCCCTACAATACAGCCAATATGACACCCTACTATACCTCACTCTTGACAGCTACAACGACCTCTACTACAAGAGCACACTCAGACAATACCAGGACAAACTACAAAATAAAAATAAGAATCACATTCCCACACCAATACAAACGAGGAACCAACCGTCAACAAACACAACAGCATAATCATCAAGATTACTACCCCTCAAAACCCACCCCCCGCACCCATCCCCAGAACAGAACACATAAAACCCTAACCACTATGTTCCGCCAACCCCTTCAGAATCAACAATCCCTCCTCCGCATCCTCGTCATTCCCCGGCTTCAGTCCATAGTTGAGGAGGAAGTTCGTCCAGCCGCCGTAGGACTTGACGATGGATCGCTCGGGCGGCGTGAGAGGTGGTTCTGCGGGGGGGTTTCTTTTTGTTAGATGGTTGACTTTGTAGGTTAGGTTTTTTTGGGTGATGGGGGGATGGACGTACGCAAGCTGTCGGTTGAGGGCATCTTGGTGGTTTGGTTTGGTTTGGTTTGGTTTTGAGTTGAGTTGGTGAGGTGAGGTCTGGTCTTGCTTGGAATGTGATAGGTCATCCCACCTTGGAGGGATGTGCATACAGGGCAAACATGGGGTTGGTCGTTGGTGCCTTTAGGGTTGTTGTCGGGATTTTGTATCTTTAGTATGGTTTGAGGAGGGGAATGTGTTACTTGTGTTTGGTACGATTACCTGGTTTGTCGCTCGGGTTTGGTTTAGAATTGTAGTGAGAGTGCAGTAGTGCTATTTACCCAGTCGGATATTGTCCATTATAACATGAGAATCTGTATCCTCCGTAGTAGTAGATGTACATAAAGTATGCTAGAGGTGACTGGTCTAGTCGGAGAAGCCTGCCCATTCGTCTTCGTCGTCGTCTTCCTCTTCGCCATCTTCATCCTCATCTTTGTCCTCAGGTTCACCCTGAGGATTCTCCTGTTGACCAGCTAGACTCTCGTCCCGGATGAATCCAGCAACAAAGAATCCACCGAGTCCCTCGTCATCGCCAGGCCAACATCTCAGGCAGCCCTCCAACTCTTCATCGGAGAGGTCAACCTTGAGCTCGGCGCTCTGTGTACCGTCCTGCGTCTGGCTGTCGGCGGCACTCCGGCTTTCGGTCCGCACACCTCTGTGCTTCCACGTCCTCAGTCCCTCCGGCTGCTCGTCCCTGCGCATCATCCTCCACCCACAACGCTTGGCCACGTCAGAGGCCAAAAGCCGCTCAACAACGGACTCATTCTCAGTCAGATGGATAGAACAAGTACTGTACGTAATGCGTGTCGCAGCCGGAAACGACATGGCATGCTCCACAATGCGCGTCTGCAGATTCGACAACTTCGTCAACCGCTCCTGGTCCATATGCGTACTGGCCATCTCGTTCTCATCCGTAGCTGACATCGACACCGACCCGTCCGCAGCACCCTCGGTCTCATCCTGGCCCCGTTTCCGCTTCTTCCCCTGCTTCTTCCTCTCCTCCGCCGGCGAAACCGGAAGCACAAACTTCGGAACATCATCCCGCCCAATGATCCCACTCCCCGAACAACTAGGGTCCAGCAACAACGCAGAAACCTTCTCGAACCGCTCGTCCTCAGGATCCAGCGCCAAAAAGTCCTGTCCGGGAAGCACCGTCGTAAAGTGGTCCGCGCCCGCCGCCGAGACCATCTTCTGGAGCGTCTTCGCGCGCACCTGCGACGCATCCATGGAAATAATCCGCTGTCGCGGCCGCTTCCTCTTGTCATTCTTGCACAGCAGCGACGCCAAATGCGTCGTCTTATTCCCCGGCGCAGCACACCCATCTACCAAATCCCCGCCACTCCACACACTCCCCGCCCCGAACAACAGATACGCGGGGAAACAAGACGCCTTATCCTGCAGGATGATCTCCCCATTCTTGTACGCCGGGGTGGCCGTGAAGTCAACGCCAGGGGCCACCGCCACCAGGTCCGGGATATGGGGGTCGACGTAGAGCCTCTTCGTGTCGTCCTTGACCGCCAGCTCCGACAGCGCATTGACCCGGGTATACGATGCGAAGGTACTCTCGAACTGTTTCTCTGCCGTGGTGCGCACGTTGTTGATCCGGATCCACCGCGGGTAGAACGCCGACGACCCCTGCGGCTGTTTCTCCTTCTGCACGGCGTCCTTGAGCTGCGCGATCGATGCGCATCCGCGGCGCACCCGCGCCTTGATGAACTCGCCCTTTAGCCGCGTCTTATGGCGCTCGATGGCCTGGCGGATGGGATGCGAGCTTGGCGCCGCGATGCCATTCTTCGCGAGCAGGTGGTCGTGGACCAGCAGGAGAGCCAGGAGTGGTGTGAGCTAGATGTTCCGAAAGAAAAAAAAAAACAGAGATTAGATCACTTTTTTTGCGCCAAAGTCAGCCAGGATAATTAGCTACGCATTATCCGGTTCCCTCTCCCCCTCCTCTTCCTCCTGATAACTAGTTTCCGGGTGGGGAAGGATAGGGTAAATGTACGAACCTTGGGCTCGAGTTTCAGGATGCCAGCATGGTCGATTACTTCCTTGAGGACGGTGTCCCATTTCGAGGCTTCGATGGTGAGGGCGTAGATTTGCGCCGGGTTGGCTTTGAGGTTGCGGGCGTGTAGATGCGGGATTTGAAGGAGCCGCCGGTCGGGGAGGGGCTCGTCAGGATCTTGACGGCGTCGTAGTAGAGCGACATTCTTTGGTGTTCTCTCGTTTGAGAGTTGGTGGTGGTTGGTTTAGTCTGGAATATTTTTTGGGGGGGGGATTGATGGGCGGTAGAAAAAAGTGATGTTTGCTTTGTTTGCAGGCCTTATCGATTGTATAGTTTCGGAGGATGCAAAGAATGTATTGATTGCTGTTCATCGACAGAGTTTTTAGTGTGGTTTTATTTCCGGTTATCTTAACTCTGTAGATGATAATCTCGAAGATTGAGTTTATGGGACTATCTGACTATCTCAGTGCGCATGCAAGGGCTGGCCATATCAATCTCTCTCACCACGTCCCGTATCTCCGCATCTCCGAAGTCTTGTAAATAATCCGACTACTATGCAACTCCACGTACGCTCCTCCGTGGACGACTATTTCCCCATTCCAGATCTGATACTCTTCCACTATCTCTGTCCCATACTCTTAAACCTCATCCGCACCGTGAAACGAATGCCATTGCGCAATCAGCCCACTAAGCTACCCAAACCCAACCACATCGGTAAACTAACTAACAAACTAGCCCACCACCAAACAAGAAGAGACGAAGAAGATCGGATAGATGCGTGATGCGAGAATGGAGAAGGATAGAAAATATCCATCGCAATATAATTCGGCTCGTTCCGCCGCCGCATGCGCTGCGTGAGGTTCGGATGCATCCGAAACAGGTGGGGACGCTGTCGGGCCGTGGGTGAAGATTAGGAGGGTGGCGGTGGTAAGGAAGTTGAGGGGTTGGGCAAAGATTGGTGAGTGGTGCTTTGGCGTAGGACTGGGTATTCTAGCGGGGTTCAATAGGTTTGTAGAAGAATTGGCGAGGGAGGGGAGGTACTACGAGTCGTTGTGAGAGACCGCGGGAACATGTGGGAATGTGGAAGAGGTTGCGGTTCCAGGATCTATAGAGACGTACATCATGCTACAATATACTACGGGGTTACCATGGATAGACATAGCTGATAGATTCTCATATTGCATTACCAACACCTGTATTACCATAAGATCCTTCCATAGCGCCATAGTAAATCGTAAAAGATCGCCGTGCATAAGCAACATGACGGGGTATCCAGTAAGAGAGCAGAACGAAGATTAGAAAGAACAACCCCCCTCCCCCCCTCCCCGTTTCTATGACGATCGAGTGGTAGCGAGCTGAACGCCGGAAGAAGAAAGCCATAAGCCGTAAAGTGGAACCCAAATCCGAACTCCGTGCAAGTAACCGAAATGCTAAAATCCAGATGCTACGCCGAAGCGAAAGCCAAGTATGTTCTAGAACGCGTGTATGTAGAGCAGGTCCGCGACAGCAGATGCGTCAAAAGAGTGGCATCGATGGCACCCCGAGTGCATCGACAGTAAGGCTCAAGGGTTTGAGTAGATTAGAAGGTGCTCCAGTTCCAGCCGCGGGGGATGCTGGCGGCAATCTCAGTGCTCTGACCCAGCATCGCAGTGAGTGCCTTTCTGGATTCCTCCTCGATGTTGTCCACATGCTCCGTGGTCTCCTCGGCCGCTTCTTCGGTCTTGGTGTTCTGTGCGTCGATCAAGGTCTGGATCTTGTTCAGACGCTCGCTGCGTGACTCCTCCCAGCGCTGGAAGGCATGCCAGCACAGGTCGCATGCACGAGAGGGGACACCTTCAGGGTGGAAGCGAGCATCCTGGTCGAGAGGAACGACGTGGGGAGTGTGAGAAGAACAGAAGACATGACCGCAGTGACGGCAGTGATGGCGACGAAGGAAGAGACCGAAAGAGGAGCGGCATGTGGGCGAGTCACAATTGGGAGAGGCTGAGTCCGCCTGTTGGATGTCTGTTAGCCACTGCTTGGGTGGTCGAGTTGAACACAAGGGAGGCTCCGCGCGGTGGGTGACATCAGATCACGCCATGATTCGCAATCCGATGATCCCCGCGACATCCAGAGCCGCGCGCACGTCATACAAGGGATATAAAGCACACGCAACCCCAGAGCGACCGAGCTTTTTGCTTCGGAGGAAATGGGATGGGGGATTGGAACGTACCTTCCAGTGATCTCTCGTAGGAAGACCAGTGACTTCACCTAGATGCTCATGCTTCATCCATTCATCCTGGGCCAACTTGCTGATGCCATCGCTCACCGCACTCTCAATGGTGGAACGACGAGTCAGGGCGGGCTGGGGTTCCTCGCTGCCGTCATTCAAGCTATCGAGGGAACCATGGACACTGCGAGGGGGAGACGGGGGAGAAGCCTTCTGAGGACGCTCCGTTGGGCGCAAGGCAGCAGGGACGTAGAGAGGTCCCTTGGGTGGACGCAACTGGCGAGTCTGCAGGGGGAGATACTGCTGACGCGGGGAGGTCGGAGAGTTATTGGCGGTGTTGATCGGGGACGGGTGGCCGTAGACCGAGATCTGGTTGGCCGGAGTCGCGGTGGCGGTGAGAACGTGAGTAGCCATGATCACGAGATATGGATGGTCCGAGGAGTAGAAGTAGTGGTGGTGCGGTGATGGTGGTTGGAATAATCGTGCAGAGACAGGGAGATAAATATGAACACCGGCGGGCGAGGGGATCAGAAAGTCGTCGTCGTAATCAAGGGATCGTGGTTATTATGTGGACGACAATGGCAATCACAAGTGAATCTTTAGATCTGGAGTGGTGAATGGTGTAAAGTTGATGGGAACCACTGAATCATGGCAAGTGGCAACCCAGATCGATGACGCCGTGAATGTCCTGAATGTGTGGGGATTTTGTTCGGCGGAAAGTAAAATTCCCAGTCGATATTTGGGTTTGAGAGGAAGATAGTGTGGGAGATAGATATAGTTCGCGGAAGTGTGGCAAGTAGTAGTGTCGTGGTTGATCGTAGTGGAATCGACGGTCAACGACTCGTACTATATTATTATTATATATGTCCAGTGCCGGAAGAGAGGAGAAGATCAGGGATAGCAAAGGGCAGAGAGAGACCACAACGATAATGATAGCGGGGGGGGGGGAGAGGAGGGGGGGAGCCAGTAGACTTAAAAGGACTCTTCTCGCGCGAGACAAGCCAGACAATGGAGGGAGATTAAAATAACATCGACCAAGGCGAGGCGAGGTTGAGCACTGACTTTGGGGGACCTGGACCCGGGACGATTTTTGCCATGCGTCGGTGGAGCAGGAGATACAACCACTAGTCTCGTTTTTACCTATACTACATTTATTATTGGCGTTCCTCCATCTCTCCGGATGAAAGAAAACGAAAATCAAATCAAATCAAATCATCCTATCTGAATCCGACACCGTAAGAATAACTAATGATAATACCAAAAAGACGAAGAATAATAATTAATATCCTTCATATTATTTGACGAAAATCCTCCCCCCTCTGGCCGCCCAGTCAATGAAACTACTAGTAGAAAGTCCCGAAGAAATGTAGCGAGTGGAGCCCCCCTTTGGAGATCCCCATCCAGTCGTTGCATCTCCATCCGTGCAGGTCCATTCATCATTACTTCACCGATAACATTCTTTACCTTGTTTTGTATAGATCATGAATCCTTCCCCCGTGTGTTTTCCTTTCTTTTCCTTTCTTTTTTTTTTTTTTTTTTTTTCTTTTTACTTTTGATTATTTGTTCATTTTCAGATCATGTTTGATGTAAGTAAGAATGATGGACCATTCTGAGGGATCGTCGTCTTTTCTCTTTTTTCTTCTTTCTTCGGGTAACGATATTCACACACACACACACACACATCGCTCTCCTACTACTACCTTCTCGTCCGTCGTCAAGGAAAGATTCCGATGGGGGCAGCCACCCGCTAAACCGGATTCGGAACGGTATGTTGCCGAGGAAGTGGAAGAAGGAAAGATTGGCTGTTTCTGGTTGGGCGGGATTCCGCCGAGCTTCAAATCCCTAGTAATCGAGTAATCTAATCAGGGAGGATTTTCCGTCATGGCCGACGGTTACTCCGTCCCTTATTGAAAAAAGTCCCCGAGACAACGAAGATGATACAGATGCCATACATCCAGGAATTGATAATACTTCCACCCGGCTTAATTTAATTTTGATTTATGCGGAAGAAATGCGGGCGCATCGACCAAGGAAAGATAGTACTAGTAGTAGTAGTAGTAGTAGTAGTAGTAGTAGTAGTAGTAGTAGTAGTAGTAGTAGGGAGTCCCAAATGAAGGAGGAACGGGTGGTACACAAACTACTACAGACAGGACCGCAGATGCAACTCGGATCCCAGGAAATCAAACCAACCACAGCAGATCAATCCCTTTTCCCCGAAAACAACTTAAAAAAGTCATGATGACAACACTCCTGATCCTGGTTCCAATCCCTGTCGCTCCTTTCCTGACCGCTTTTTACCTAACGCATGCCATCTTTCCTGCGACATTCGCCGGAAATCCTTCCATCTCCTATCATGACGCTGGACTCGAGGAATCTCCTCTGGTCCCAGTATCATCACCCTCTGTGGCAAAGAGGCGTGACGGCTTTCCCCTTTGAGGGGTTATCTCCAACTGGGGACGTCCACCCGCTCCACTTTTTCCGATAGATCATGTTTGATTATCTTCCAGCGTAGTGTGTCTCCTTCGAGAAGTATAGTAGAAGAGAGTCGGATGAAGTAATGTTATTTGTCGTGGCGCCTGTCCGACCGCTTACGGTCCCGGTTACCCCGTCACGATGATTGATTGAAGTTGAGGCGGATCTCCCACTCCAAGCCCGCCACCGGCAAATCAGCTGAACGCCCGTCCAGAGGGCAGACGGCGAGTGTCCGGTGTGCAGCAAAACGGATCCACGAACCGAAATTACCTGTGCCGTCATTGGCCGAAGCAAGCGAGCGAGTCGCATATCGGGGGACTCCACACCGTGACGTCGGACCCACGGCTCAGGCCTGACCGAAGGATGGGAACACACTCAACTGGAGACTGGAGGTCACCGTTGCCTTTACTCTGTCGGGAAGAGTTCACGAGACAACCTACTAACTCAATCCCGTCGTTGCACCAAAACGCCCCTCCGAATCAAACCCGATGCTACCTTTTGTTCTGCCTACGATGGATGATACTCGTGGAAAGGCTGGGAGGTCGTACTACCGTAAGATGGCACACAGGGCGGATGAATGTGAATGTGAATATGAATACGAACAGGGAAAGAGTCCAGTCTGTGAGTCAGATATCCCTTGCGACCAACACGAACAATCGACACGATGGCGGTGAAGTTGTCGACGGTTCTACACCCGTTCATTCCTATACATCCTTCGACACACCCTCTCAACCAGTTGGTCAAAACGGGACAGTTCGAGAATGAAAGCAAAGGGCACTGGTTGGAGCGTTCCCACTCGAGTTAGTCGTGCACGAGATGAAAGATAACGCTAACGGAGTGGAAACCAATCAATCGAGGTGGGTCTTGTCTTGGCTCGCCTCCGGATTGGAGGCCTCCTCATCTCGTTATCGTCGGCATCTGATTGGCTGACACCCATCAACCACGCTACGATTGGCCAGTGCTTCCGCGTCGTTCCTCGAGGTCAGCACGGACAGTCCCCGAAGTGAAATTGAAACCTCGATCGGCCGTCCTGAGGCTTCCGCATCCTCGGGGCAAGGCGATTATGTAACGAATACTGGGAGGAACTGAGTTTCCCTCCTGCCTCGGGTCCACTCCCGACGGCCCACGACTGAACCCGGTTAGCCCTGCCGGAGCTTCTACCTCGGCCGTTTGGGTTCCCTGGCCTCAAATGTCAGCCAGGTGAGACGTCGATGCGACCTTGCCAATATCCCTGTCGAGTGTCCTGTGTCCGGATGCGCCCTGATTGGGTTTCTTCGTCGGGCTGAAGCAATGCCACCAACCACCGACTTTTCCCCATCGTCCCGAATATTCTAGCACACGAGTCTAAATGGCGACCGCGCCTGTAAGACATCCGCGGACTTACATCTGCTTGGCTCGCGCCGGCCGTTTGCCCGGCATCCAGCCCGGTCTGGACGGCGATCCCTGACAAAGCAGATACGACGGAGAGAAGGCAAGAGATGCATACCATCGATCTCGTCTCCTCGATCGGGACCTGTACCTGGTATGTTCTCGTGGTTCGATAAATTTCATTTTTTTTTTTAAAACAACAGTCCCGGCATCAATGCTATCGACGCCGTATACTGTGCCGTAGCTAGGGAGAACAGCTCCATACTCAAAACAGCAGAACCACAACAAACCTCCCCAAAGCGGACCTGAGACGAAATGGAGAAACCCGCCACATGTGACCACGGGATCCTTCCATTCCTTTTCCATTCCCCCTTCCATCCAAGATGAACTCAAAAAATCAAAGGAAGAAAAACAACCGGGAACCACACGACTATGGATAATTAGTCGAAATAGCTTACTCAATAAATAACCGTCGAACCATGGTTCATCCGCCCCAAGCCGCCCAACCACGGCGCAAGAGATGAGAACCGCCGTCGATCCCCTCCCAGAAGGGCAATCTTGAAGAAGATTCGACGCGACCTTCCACTCCCGCTGGAAAGCTTAATCCCCCCAGCGGTCAACAAAGAACGTTCACCGTTTTGAGTCCACTTGTCAACTGATTGACCTTTCGGTCGGTAACCGCGGGAATGTGCAATGGATCCCCTGGTGCCTGAGTCTCGTCTAATGAGACGAGGGATGATTATGCTTTCCCATTCTTGGGAGACGGGATCCACTGATTGACCGTTGTGAGCGGTGAGGATAAACGACGGAGTAAGTACGGAGATGGGGTATTCAGCTACGAAGTGAACAGCGTGTACCTTCACTAGGTGAATCTGTAGATCCTCCCAACCGATTGTTGGTGGTGGATAGTGAGGCGCACACGGGATCGAAAATCGGATCACTCCAAGAGATTTGCGAGCGCGACTGGTCCCGAGACTCCGGATCAATAGGTGGAAGACCATTCATCCGGCCTGTCGGGTTCGCGTTCTTCCCAATCTCCCTCGACTTTATTTTTAGCCTTCGGTTAGCAGGAGAGGTATACGTCTACCGACAGCCTCGACAACATACCGTCCACATTTCTTCACCGACGTAACTAGGTAACTAACTATCCAAATTCCAGCGGAAACTCACCCTGAGACTTTGCACGAAGTCCAACCAATGTAAAACAGAACAATGGCCGTTTTCAGATCTGCGTTGCATCTCCCTGTCGATCGCCTGCTCCTGGACTAGTCCCCTCTGGGCCTCGTTGGCCGGTTTAGGGTTATCTCACTTTCACTGCAAGGGGTCGTCCATCGCGAGGTGCAGGAAAAAGAGCGTGGCTTTTCTTTGTTTCAATTTCGGTCCCCCAATGTCGTGCAACGCATTCACTTGCTTAAGCTTTGACCTAGTGCATGTGAGGAGTCGTGTAGCAGTGGCTGTTTCATATATCTGAGCACCACGTGCGTGTATGTTCTACTATCGTCGGGACACGGTTATAGCACAGGAAACTATTAATTCATAGAGTTCATGCGTTGAATAGTCTGGAATATTTACTG